GAGCATTTTTAAATATTTTAAACTATTGATTAATTATTCAAACTGTTTTTATACAACCGAATATTTTATTTTTAGCATAAACTATCAAATATTTTAAAAACTATTCGAATGGAAGTACCGAATAGTTTTAAAAAATATTCGAATGGACTATCGAATAGTTTTAAAAAATATTCGAATAGTTTTTGAATGACTATCGAATAGTTCGAATAGTGGACAACTATCCTATAGTTCGATAGTTACTATTCGATATTTCCCATCACTAGTTCTAACCAAAGTTTAAAATAGATTAGGTAAATCATTTAAATAACTACCAACAAGTTGTAATTCTGAACTCAATTGTAATTTATATCCGTGAAAGTAACTACCAAAACCAATAGTAATTAATCTACTTAAAATCGTCATTTATGGTACAAAAATTTCGTATTTATTTATTTTTTTCATATTTTAATTTTAATCTCGTTAATTTTTTAACTCTATTTCTTTTCTACTTAATTAACCAGACTACTTATCTTCTATTTATTAAATGTATTTTTATATAACGATGTTAATAATTACGGTACGAATATTATGACACGACCACGGCCTTGTCACCCGTTCGACACCCCGCGGTCGTGTCAGCTCCATCTCAGCCACCGCTCCACTGTAATCCGGACCGTTACACACAACTCGTTATCGTCGTGGTGTAAGTCCAATAAATGCCCAGCGTCGAATACCCACCGCAATAATACGTAAGTCATCTCCGCTATACTATCGATTCGATTTGTCGTTCGTTTTTCCGAACTGTCTACCTTTTTCTCGCACTGTAGAAGTCACTAGACACTTTAGTATTTTTGTTTCACTTTTGTTTTATATTACACATTGTCTGTTGCTAACTTCTTTTTCTTTTGTTTTTTTGTTACAACATCATTTAAGTAAACGGCTCGACGCCACTTACGGTTATAAGAAAAAAAGGTGTTAAACTTATTGTGTTCCGCACACGCCGCTTCTTCATTACACCTCAACAATTATTCATTTTAAAATTTACGTTGATTTATCAAGGTTTGGACGCAAACGGAGTCGTCCTTAAAAGGAGACATACAACATTTAATTCTTAGGCCTCGCTCTTTGAAAATATAGTAATTTATTTTTTATTTTTACTACTGTCATAGTAAAAATTAATTCCTATGATAAATAGTTAATATCTATATATATAAGGAATTATTTTCTACATAAGTATAATTAATTCGATTTATTGATAATGGTAAAAACCTGTAATGAAAAAAAAATAATGGAAAGTGTTGGAAAGATAAGAACATTAAAATGCTAAAGTAAATTTTTTGTTTATGCATAGATTGTCAATCTAACTGTTCCCATCCATAAATGAATATATTAAATGATTAATATAAAAAACATTACTTAAAAATACATACATATTAGTGATATAGAACGAGTGATACAGTTGGGTCAAGTTTTCTGAGTTGACAAAGTGGATGAATAAAAATTAACAATTAAAAAAGGCAAGTACGATTAGGGAAAAATTATGTAACAAATATCACGACAAATATCCCTAGTAAAACAAAAAACGGATACATTTTTTCGGGGAGGTGCCATGACTTCCACTGGCTGAGCGTTGCAGTCGTGATCGGTTAAAGGATGTTCTCGGAGGACGAATGTTGAATAACCGATAGATGGAAACTCCAACCGTTCCGTTCACGCCTTGAATTTTGAACAAATTTTCCTTTCTTTCTAGCACTGCGAAAGAACATTTGAATTTGGACTGGAGTGGTGCCTGTAAGTCGTCGATGTAAATGAAATCATCACTCGCCTTTGTTAACGACGCTGGCACGAAAGCCGAACGATTCGTGACGTGATTAGTGTCGTGAATCGGCTGTAACTCTGATGTGGCTTGCCGTTGTGCCGCTAAGAAATCCGTTTGTCCGATAGTGAGCGGTGCTGGATAGTGCCAATGTGCTGTTTAACCGTGCTTAGTAGTGCTATACCGTTTGCTTTTCCTTGAGTGTTCTGTGAAAACGACCAATCTTCCCGTTGGGCTGTAGATGGTAAAACGATGTTCTTAAACATTCTATATGAAATGTTTTGTATCGAACTCGACTTTGAACTGGTGATCTTGGTCAGTGGTCAAAGGAACGGCCAATCCTAAACGTTAGAACCACTGACTGACTATAACGGAGACAACAACGTGAGTGGAAATGTTTGTGAATGGTAAAACTTCTTGTCAATGAGAGAAACAGTCCACTCGTTGTCAACAAATAGTTTTACCTGTTCGAGGGTGACAGGGTACCAACACGGTCGATATGAATATGGTCAAATAAAATCGTTTTTGAAATATAAAATTAATTTTTTTAGTTAGGAACTCATTCTTTTTTATGTAATACTATTCTATCAATTATTATATTTACATAAATCAAATCAAATCATCTACAATAAAGAATTAATATAATTATAATAAATGGCTACTAGTAAACTATTGGTAACCACTACGGCGTCAGAATTTTCCAAAATATTAATTCTACATTATTATTATCTACTATAAAAATTTGATGTTGAAATACATTGTAAAATACAGTAGCATATCTCACAACAGCTTTTTGGCACGCTTTGGCCAAATTATTTTGCCACCGCTCACAATTTTTCCAAAATTTAATGCCCAATTGTAAAATTTCAAAATAAATGGTATGTGAGTTAAAATAACCTTGCAATTTAGTTAATGTTTCTAAAATTGATCCCTTAAAAAGAGAAAAATAATGAACAGCAGCCTACAATTACAATGTACTTGTTACCGCTTATTTATGCTTTCGCTCTTCTAAAAAGCAAATAACATGACAGATGAATGTGTCACATACTGTGTGTACTTAAAAAAATTTCGCAATTTTTGAACACCAGCTACATTATCTCTTAATTTCTCTCCATCATTTATCAGTTTCAACAACAGTTAATTAAAAACAATTCAGTTATAAATTATGAATGACACATAATATATCGTCACCCTTTTTTTTTATTTATTGAATAACTTTTAGTTTTGATGCAAAGCTGAAAAACAATGGTTTTACTATGCCGTCTTTTTTATTTGCTCAAAGATACGTCAATACTTTTCTCAGTCTCGATAATAGAGCGAAATATCCAAAAAGGAACAGTTGTCATAAAACAATCAATTTTGATATTATTATTTTTCACTTAAAATTGAAATAACTTATTGAAAACTGGACGGATTGTTTCGACATTTTTTGATAACTTTTCAAAAATTTTTTGTTCTGATAACATGCTTTTTATACACATTCATTATTAATCAAAGTACTGTAAGAGCATAAATTCATAAATAAATTAAATTTTTTATTTTCATTTTTTGATGATGTTTCAAAAAACTTATCCTCTTCAAGCTTACATTAAATGACAGCTAATACAATGTACTTTAAGATGAAAATAAAATAAAAAATAGAGTTTTAATTTGCAAGAGGAATTGAAAAATATTTATTATAAAATTCAACATTCTTTCGATATAATAAACTTACCTAAAAATCAACCTTAAGGAACCAAATAAATATGTTAACACACAAAATTTTGAATCGAAATTTTGCACGGATTATTATCATACTAATAACTAAAAAATCAATAACAATTAAAAAAAAATTTTATATATTAATATTTGTTTTTTACTAATTAGTAATAATCTCAAAAAAATTTGGAAATCAACTATACCATAACATGTTACCAACAAATTTGGAATACTATAGAATGGTAGTAAAACACATAAATAGAATCATGAAATTAATAAATAACAAAGTTAAATTATTTAATTTTGTAGTTGAAATCTATTATCATATCAAAACTAATTTGAGAGTATATACTTTATAACATTAGAAATTAATGATTTTAATTGTCTACACGAAGTACGTTGTTTTTATAATTGATAAAGGGTGAATTTTTCAATTTTAGAAAGTAATATCTTCAATTAGATACGAATTGTGATATTTTGAAGAATTTTTGAATCAGCTCTCAGTCGGTAGACCAAAAAGATCTAAATCAAAAAAAAAAACTCAAAAGATCACAAATAGTATCTAGTCAAAAACATTAACCTCAAAAATTAAAAAAAATTTCCCTCATTCCCTGTATATGGGGGAAATCCCAAAAAAAAAATCGTTAATTTTCGAAAATTAATAATTTTTTTTACTTAAAACTATGACAGTTTATGACAACTTTAGTTTATGACAAAGTTGTCATTAAAAGTTATGACAACTTTTTCAAAAAGAACAAATTAGTATAATTATTTTTTATATAAATGCGTAATATAAAATTTTATATTATTATTATATATTACATAAAAAATGTTGTACTTAATTTTGTTTTCGTAGTGAAAAGGACATTAAAGTTGATAAAAAAAACCAAGAACAGGGGGGTCGTGGCACAGTGGGGCGTGGCATAGTTGGGTCCAGTATAGATGATATCTGACAGTGATTAAAATCACTATAATAAAAAACGCTTCGATTCAAGTCTGTAGATAATGTTTAATTAAAAAAAAAAATTTGTTAAAATAGCATATTTTTGAATATGATAGCCATTTGCGCATAGAAGATAGGTCGTCGGGAAAAATTTTTTTTTTCATTTTATAGTACATAAAATAAGCTTTAATTTGATATATGTTTAAAGGACGCAGTATTTCCAAAACATTTTCAAAAATTCAGTTGAAAAAGTTCATTTTCGTAAAAAATTGGCTATTTTAAATCCCTCCCAATGAGCAGGTTAAGTGACAGATTTTCAAAAAAATTATATCAAATGAAAGGTAAATATCTAAAATTTTAGCATAAAAAAAAAATTATGTTGATTTGTTGATTTTTGAAAAAGTTATGGAAGTTTTAAGAAAAAATCATACAAGTTTTTTATAAAAAATAGCAAGTTTAGCTTACATCATTCTAAATTAATTTAAATTAAAGTTTATTTAATGTAATATAACGTTAATAGTAATAAATCCTCAAAGAAAAATAAAAAGTTTTATTATTGTTATACTTGAAGTTTATTACATGTAAGAAAAACTTTTTATACGTGTATATTCTGATAAACATTTTGATACATTATAAAAAACTATCTAAACACCAAGAAACATAATTGATGGATTTATTTTATTTTTTATGTTCCACGCATATTAAAAACAATATATTAGAGACAAAGTTATTTAACAATTAAATACAGTTAAAACAAAATAAGCTTTTTTTTCTCTTTTAACTTTTAAAGTGAATATTAGAAATTTCTAATTTTTCCATGTCATAAAAAAATCCCAGTTTTGTGTACAAACCTTCAGTCATTTTCTGAATACCTTCTCTTAAGTGTTCTTCTAAAAATTCAAAATAAGTAAACGTTTCTTCAGTTTTATGACTATTTCTAAAATACATTTTATAATAAAATGGTTCGTTATTCAACCAAAGATAGTCATTAAGCTTATAATTGTAGATTATATTATACAATTTACAATTATTGTCAGAGTAGATTTTGGTAAATTCTCTAGAAATGATTTCTAAATATTCATTTTTATCTACATTTNTCTAGAAATGATTTCTAAATATTCATTTTTATCTACATTTTTTACTTTGCTTACCATATCAACAAAAATGTGTAAATCTTCTAAAATAAATGGGTTGGTTATGATATTTGACAAATTCAGTAGGACATTTATTGCACTGATAAAACGTGTTACAATTTGTTCAGAAATCTTAACACTTGATATTAATAAATCAACACAATGATCTTTTTTTGTAAAATCTTTGATATCTTTACATTCAAAAATTATTTTGTTTAAGTGATCCACGATCCATACTAAACTTATGGCGTACTCATTATTAATAAGCAATATTGTTTCATATAGTTTTTTATCAACATTATTTTTATCGACGAAGTTTAAAAAATATTCTCCATCAATTAATAGATCATATACTCTAATGATTTCGTTCTTTGTAGAGTCCTTTGTAGAGTAGTCATACAACCAGTTCTTTGAAGGCTCCCAGTTGTTTAATTTTAGAAATGAATTTAAAAACTTGATTACATACTTTTTGTCGTGTTCTTTCTGCCTATTCGTTGCGTCGACTACCAATATAAATATAAAGATGTTATAATTCATTCTTATTAAGTGATATAATACGTAATTATTGTAAAATTCAATTAATACTTTAAAATACGTATAGTGCGAAATTAAATTTAATTAAAAAATAATATATTTTTTCAGTTTGTTCAATTGTTATTAACAGTGTATTTAATATATAATAAACATACCCACTTTGAAAAATAATATTTTTTCGGTTTTATTTTCATAAATACAAATAGCTTAATATAATATATTACTTATAAAATAAAATATGCTCTAATTAAGAAAAGAGCTGCTCGATGACAACTTTTGACCCATTATATTGGAAATTATGTTATTTTTATCATTACGCATTACTCTGCTTAACTGTTCCTCTAATATAATTTAAAAATGAGAATAACTCCCAAAGTACTTATCTAAAAGTTATTGTCGACCAGTAGATTTTCTTATTTACAGTATTTTCTATTTTATAAGCTAATTTTATTATAATTTTATATATTACACGATTTATTAATTCTTAACTTTTTAGCTTCGATGCGAAGCTGAAAAGGTATTGGTTTTACTAAGATGTGTTTTTTTTTTTTTGT